AGGAGGACAATCATTTCACGCGGGATTCTGGTCTCGTTCAGTCGGTGATGGCCTAAGGCTCATTACTTGCTGTCCTACTATTGATCTAGACTGTTAAGGAATCATTATAGTTTGACTCATATATGTGATGTGGTGTAAAAGATGTTGATTAATCTATGTGCCTGTAGGGTAGATATGTGCGGAGAGAGGGGCGCGCTAAGGCCTAATTAGAAAGGTATATCGAGTGTAAAGAATTAATTAGTATATTAATATATATAAAAGAATAAGATAGAATTAAGCTATAAAATCTTAAATTTCTATATATAACTAATTATAAATTTATTAGATCTACGCTCTTTAATTAGATTAATTAAATTATCGCGGATAAATAAATTAACATCTATAACTATTAAAAAATCTCTTACTCTACTTTTAATCTTTTAATAACTTTATTATTATCTATTGAAATTTTTAGATTATTTTTTTAAATTATAGTCTATAACTTACGCTTTTTAATAATATAAAAATTCTAAAATTTAATCTTATAATTATTAAAGAATAAGGATCTTAAATATCGCTTATTAAAGTTTGCTCGACAGCTCTAATTAAAAAATAGAGGCATATTATTTAATTTTCTATTAAATTTTTAAGATTTTTCATTTAAATTATAGAATATAATATAGACTTTTAGATGAAAAAAGAATTACTAAAATTAGTATTAAATATCGCTTATTAAAGTTCACTCGATAATCGAATAGTCTTAATTAAATATATATTATTTAATCTTAAAGCAACTTTTTTATTTTCTATTTAAATTTTAAGATTTCTTTTTAAATTTATAGAACGAAATATAGGCTTTTAAATAAAAAACGATTTTCTAAATTTAGTCTTATAAATATTTAAAGATAAAGAATTTAAATATCGCTTATTAAAAACTTATTTACTTTATTAAAAATACTCTTTTATATAAACTTAGATAATCGAATAATAATAAATTTTAAAACTATTTTAAAACTATTTTACTTTATTCTCGATTTAAATCTATTAATCTCTCTTATTAAAAAATCGTAAAATTAAAGAATTAAAGAATTTATAAAAATTATAAAATTACTAAATTTTTTATAAATTATAAAAATAAAAATAATATTAATTAAAATAAAAAGATTATAATAGAAATTAAAATTAATTTTTTATTAATTAAATTTGAATTAATTTAAAAATAATTAATTTTCTAAAAATCTATTATTAATATAACTTCTTTTTTTTTCTATTAAAATTTTACTACTTTTTTTTAAATTATAGAACTTAATCTACGCTTTCTAAAAATTTAAATTTTTTAAAAGTTAATCTTATAATTCTAAGTAAATCTTAAAATAAGATATTTTTACTCTTTAAAGTTCGAGAATTAAATTTAATCTCGAAATTAAATTTATAAATAAATTACTTTCTATAATTCTAATTTATTAATCTAAATTTATTTATAATAAAATCTTAAAATATTACTATTAATTATTAAGAAATTATTATAATTTAACTTATATATATATATAATATAAAGATATTTTTTTTAATTATATATCTATAGAATAAATATATATAAAGAGAGACGTATTAAGATTTAATTAAAAAGATATATCGTATTAAATAAATTTAGATAATTAAATATAAGTAGATTTAGAGTTATATAGTAATGTGAACTTAGTAGTAGATATATATATATTCGTATATAGATCTCGTAGTAAGACTAATTCTTGAAGAAGTAAGAAGGAAAACGAGGGGCATCGCCCCCTTAAGCTTCTATGTTAAGTCTACGTATATTAAGAGTCTTAACTACGCTACGGCTACGCTCAGTAACTAAGTTCCCTTTAGAAACCTTAGCTAATATATTAGTATATATAAAAGAATAAGATAGAATTAAATTAAAAAATCTTAAATTTATATATATAGCTAATTATAAATTTAAATTTATTATACTCTTTAATTAAATCGACTAAATTCATCTAATAACTCTCTTAAGCTCTCTTATTAAAAAAATAGATATATATTACTTATATATAAAATAACTTTTTTATTTCTTATTAAAATTTTAAGACTTTTTTTTTATATTATAAAATAAAATATAGACTTCTAGATAAAAAAAGAATTTTTAAATTTAATCTTATAATTATAAAAGTATAAAGAATTTAAATATTATTTATTAAAGTTCGCTCGATAGCTAAATAATCTTAATTAGATATATATTATTTAATTTTAGAATAATATTTTTATTTTCTATTAAAATTTTAAGATTTTTTTTTAAATTATAAAATAAGATATAGACTTTTAAATAAAAAAAGAATTTTTAAATTTAATCTTATAATTATTAATACGTAAGAAATTAAAATATCGCTTATTAAAGTTTACTCGATAATCGAATAATCTTAATTAAATATATATTATTTAATTTTAAGATAACTTTTTTATTTTCTATTAAAATTTTAATAATTTTTTTAATTTATAAAATAAAATATATAATTTTAGATAAAAAAAGAATTTCTAAATTTAGTCTTATAAATATTTAAAGATAGAGAATTTAAATATTACTTATTAAAAACTTATTTACTTTATTAAAAATACTCTTTTATATAAATTTAAATAATTAAATAATAATAGTTTTAATAAATTTTAAAATTATTTCGCTTTATTCTTAATTTAAATCTATTAATCTCTCTTATTAAAAAATTATAAAATTATAAAACTAATAAAAACTTTATAAATTATAAAAATAATAGTAATATTAATTAAAATAAAAAGATTATAATAGAAATTAAAATTAATTTCTTATTAACTAAATTTAAATTAATTTAAAAATAATTAATTTTCTAGAAATCTATTATTAATATAATTTCTCTTTTTTCTATTAAAATTTTATTACTTTTTTTTTAAATTATAAAACTTAATCTATATAGTTTTTAAAAATTAAAAATTATTAAAAATTAATCTTATAATTCTAAGTAAATCTTAAAATAAAATATTTTTACTTTTCGAAGTTCGAGAGTCGAATTCAATCTCGAAATTAGATTTAAAAATAAATTACTTTTTATAAATTTAATTTATAGACTTAAACTTATCGAGTATAAAGAATTAATTTATAATAGAAATCGTAGTTATATTAATAACGTTATATATTAATATAATAAAATTTATTTAAGTTCTATAAATTCTACGCCGCGTAACGAGACGTAAATAAGTCTAAGATGAGTTTTCGAGAGGGTATTCCCTAAAACTCACTCTCGGATTTGTCGGATTTAAGACCGTGCATTACCACATTACCGGGTATATATGAGGTGAGTGCTCTCTAGTGACGGCCGCTAACCCGAAGAACCTTAGCGAACTCTGAGCGACTGAGGCAACCTCGCCAACTCAATTCTCTCTTCTACGCGTTCACACCAATACATGTCTTTGACTATGATTGCCAACGTCCAATAAAATGAGTCCCATTATCTACTCCTGTGTTCTTTGTGGATATTACATTTGAGATTTTGAACAAACGAGCTCCGAGTCTTGGCTGCAACAGTTCCGCGCCCGTGAGTGTCTCTTCTAAAGTTCCGTCATCACAGATGCTCATCCCTTGAGGCACGAAGGTTCTACGCTAATACCAACAGTTTATTCTAGCCCTACCGGGACCTGGGTATCTGGAGTTGGCCTGTATAATAACCCCCGCGGCGGGGTATGGATCGTCCCGTCTGACAGCGGTGTGCGATGGAACGACGCCGGGATCTCCTTCTCAGGGCAGGACGAGCTTGCTGTGATGAAGCAACATGCGACCCACGGTCGGCATGGCTTCGTCTTTCATGAAGCTTGCTGGTCTCTTCTACAGCACGTTTACAACCCTGAAACAATCCCTTTGGCACGTCTCCTGGAAGTTTGCAAGTCGCTGCCATTTCCACTTCGAGCGAGCGGTGTAAGTTGGGGCCACGATTATGGTGGGCTAGTCTTCCTCGATTATGAAAACCATTATCCGTGGGAAGACCGGCTTATCGAGCGAGACGAAGACTCGATAACGTGTCAGCGTGCTCGGGAGAACCCTTATGATGTGCCAGAGATTCAACGGCTGCTGAAGGAGCGCCCGCAGAGTCCACCACGTGGGAAGGAGCTCAGCTCGTCAGGGTCCATCACAGAACGAGAGGACTGCTTTGTTTGACTTCCATGGGAAATTCGTGAAGGAACCGCCGTTTACTTGTCAAGTGCAGATGTTCTGAGTCTCCGTCGAGCCTCGAGGGCATTTGTCCACATATTCTCCAGTCAACACTTCTGGGCCTCCAGGTTTAAAGCCAACGCCGACCGTGATTTCTTTTTGAAACGCAAAACAGCCAGGAGTGTCGAGACTGGAGATCGCTGTATCGCCGCACGAATGATGCCCTTGGCCCTCCTGGATTGCAAAACAGAAAGAGAATCTGGGCCTTGATTCAGTCGCTTTCGGATGTACTAAACATGCGTTGGCACGATTCTTCCGAAACGCCTCGTCGGGACCTGAGCCGAGCCGGCTTGAGATGGACGGAGGTAGCTGGAGACGTGAGGCAGGAGGGACCTGCTGGGTGCCGCAGATTTGACGAAGGCTGCCGTCTATTCAACAAACGAAATACCTCCATCCCAGACCTTCTTTCCCGGATTGCCGTCTCCATTACCCGGATTGGAGATGCAGGATACGTTGCGGGAATACGTCTTATTCCCAGCAAAGGGGCGGATATATGTTTGGGGTATAGGGCAGAGGGGAAAGAGCTCTTCCTGGATGTTACAGTCTTGAAAGGATTTGTCTTGGCGGTAGGGTCAAGAGGCATCCAAGCGTTACAAATAATTACCAGCAACGGACATGTATCACAATGGTTTGGCTGTCCGAATGAATCGCCAAAAACACAGCGCCTCGCAGTTTGTGGGCCTGTCGCTGCTTTAGAAGCAGGATTCGATGTAAGCAAATATGCGCTATCTCTTCCTTTCTTTTGGCATCCGCCATGGCTCACGCGAAATGGTAGGGATACAAAATGGTCAGTCTAGGGGTTGCCGAGAATCTACCGTCTCGTATTGAGACGTCGATGGGACAAAGCAGGTCGTTACGAAACACTGCGTTATGGTATCCCGAAATTCCCAACCCCGCCTTGTATCTGAATGAGGATTCCTTTGCGGGTGAAGATGCTTCTTCTGGTAGATATCAACCGTTGTGCTGGACTTTGTTTGGAGGCCCTAGTGGTACTTTTCTTCGATCTCTGACCGAAATCTCCGTCACCTTCTTCGGGTCTTTGTGTGGCATCGAATTCCATTATAACACAGAGGACGTCCCGGTCGAACGTCGCAAGCTAGGCCGTCGCAAGTCCACGGAATATGCACAAGTCATGCACTTTCCCATTGACGGCCCCGGAGGGGAAATTATCGAGACGGTTGAGGTTAATTTTGTCGATCTTGGAAGCTTGTATGGCGAACCCGCAAAAAGCTTCTACGGACACGAGAAATTGAGGTCTTTCAAGGCAAGTTGGGTTCTTTAGGAGCCAGCTTTTGACGCTGCCCAGGTCTTACCCACTGACATCTTCATCACCTTCATGGAGTATTATAGATTTCCACGAATTACGGAAACTCTTTCCACTTTGAACCTGCGCAGAATGCGCCAGATGAGCTTCCGTTGAGACCAATGGTCATTGCTCCCGGAACTACCATTACTGGGTTTTACGGGAGCCAGGTACGTGGATGCTTCGTTCCGTGGATTGAAATCGAGGCTGACAAGAGGCGTGGTAGCATCCTGACATGGGTCTCATCAGTTTGGGCGTCATATCAGTGGTAATTAGAAAGGATTAGAGAAAGGTGCATCACCAAGCCAATCGAACAAGGTTTATTAGTAGTATAAAGAAAAAAACGTCAATCGTGATTTCATTCCATAATGCAGGGTTGCAAAGTAGAAAAGGTGTTTCATATTGATATTCGCCGTTTTGTTATAACGCTGGTTAATGCCTTCTTCCAATGCTGCGGCAATGACGATCGTATCACATGATTTAGACTGTATATCTACGAGCTATCTATCCGCAGCTAAGAAGCCCAGTACTAGTACATACCTAGTGCTGCCGTTATCACTCTTCATACTTCGGATACAATCCCTTCAACCAGCAACCTCTTCTTACCAAACCGCCCAACCTCTATCTGTTTACTTGGCTAATACTTGACATCGAAGCGGGAAACGTTCGTACAGGATCACTATACACAAAGTGCCCCCCTGTATAAGCCCATCAGATCACTTGCTCATCTCGACATCAGAGTCTCATCTACCTAGTATCTAACCCGCGCACCTTATCATTCGATCATTGCAAGACGAAGATGTCAGTCGAAAGGATACCCATGAGGATCACCTTCCTAGGCTGCGGTACGCGGACCCTGACCTCCCCACCAAACTCACCCCCCCAACAACGCTCACCCTCCACCCAGGCAAACTCAGCTCCGCGATCCTCCAAGGCATCCTCGACTCCCTCACCAACAGCAAGCCCACCGACTTCCGACCCCCCTCCCCCATCCCCGGGACCACCGACACTCAATCCCCACCGTCCAACCCCGCCATCATCACGCCCACATCCCTCACCGCCTGCGTCCACCGCCCGAGCAGCGCGGCGCTGCTGAGCGCCAAATTCTCCCACGATCCCCTCGTCACCGTCCTCGCCGACCAAAACGTCCTCGGCGCCCAGCGCGGCGACGTCGTCATCCTCGGCGTCGAACCCCACGCCTACCGCCCCGTGCTCGCCGCGCCTGGCATGGCCGCCGCGCTGCGCGGGAAGACGCTCGTGAGCGTCGTCGGCGGCGTGCCCGCCGCGAAGCTGTACGGTGCGATATACCACGGCACGGGGGAGGAGGAGGAGGGGGAGGGGGAGGGGGAAGGGCGGCGATGCCACGTCGTGCGCGTGACGGCGGGGACGTCAGCCGCGGTGCGGGGATCCGTGTCGCTGATCGGCGAGGAGCCCGGTCGCGGACACCCGCCCGCGGCGCTGAACGCCGTGTACTCGCTGTTCATGCGGGTCGGGCAGGTGAAGATGTGGCCGGAACACTTGCAGGCGGTGGGTGCGACGATGACGGCGGGGGGTCTTGCGTTCTTGTCCGTGGCGGTGGAGGGGTTGGTGGAGGGTGCGGTCCGGGAAGGGGTTGAGAGGGGGGAAGCGCTCCAGATGGCGGCGTCGTGCATGGTGGGGCTGTCGAAGCTGATTGCGAGTGGAGAAGCGCCGGGTGAGGTGAGGAACAAAGTCGCGACGCCTGGAGGTGAGTCGAGTGCGTTGAGACATGATTCGTGATACTGATAGATTGGGCTAGGATCTACGGCTGCAGGCTTGAAGGTGTTAGAGGAGGGGAAAGTGAAGGATTTGTATATGGAGGCATTGGAGGTGACTACTTTCAGAACTAGTAAACTAGACGATATACTCCACCTGGAAAATGCGATTAGGTCTGCTTCGCGCTCCTAGAAACAAGTTCTAGGGCCCCGCAATAGGGCCGCTTTCCGACAGTAGGGTTAGGGCTCCACTAGCGCTGTCCAGGTCTTCCAATGCTGACCTCCGTATCTTATTCTTATTCAGTCTTGTTTTCCTTTGGTCGAGTGTCGCAAATGCAAGCCAAATTGCACGTGTTGATGCACATCATGCACCATCTGAACCAGATCTCGCATACACTGACATTTACGGCGTTCCATCCCCTAGCCACATAGCACATGCGCCCCCAGAGTATTCTCCCCCTGGTGTCCCACAGGATCCCATTCTCGTGGAACCGCCCCATTTGTTCGTATCCCCTTTCATGGATCACGGCCAAGAAGGCTTCTGTTCAGCTATGTCCTTCTCCTTCTCCTCGCCGCCATCTCTGCAACAGCGAGCACTTTATCGGAAGCTTCAGTCAATCCCGTCGCCCCGAATCTACCAATTAAAACTACCTTCGCAGTGCCCTTCCCCAGATTTCTCTGCGGCAACAATTTCCAAGCAGCCTCACCTACTAGTCTAACTATAGCAACCTCGCCGCGTTGTCATGAATCTCTTTGCCCGCTTCAACGACACTGTCTACGATAGCACGATACCCGCGCGTTGTCATCGTAGAGGCCGTCGTTACATCCGGCATTGGTCCAACAACCAAAATTGATGAGCTCAGTGATGTGCAGCTGATCTTCAGCGACCATATTGGCCGGTATCGGAGTATCTCTATCACCATGGAAGCTTGGGGCAAGATATCTATGTCCTGGACAGAATCTCCGCCCACTATTATAATTTGAGCCCAAAAAAGAGACAGAAGTGAGGGGCTCTCCTTGCTTCCTTGAATTGTTCTATAGCCAACAATCTTGCCTCGAAGCAAACCAACTCTTATGTCTTCAAAAGTGGACCAAACTAAACTCCACAGGACATCTGCCGCACTCGAACACTGGCCCTCTGCCGTTGGGCCAGGGCACGGATATTGGGGAAGCAGATGTCTTGCTGAAGGCTGCGGAGTGTATGCAGGAGTATGATACCGTGGACGTGAGATGGGCCACCAACTATCCACTGGGTAGACAGCGGGACTTTGATCCCTTTCAGTTGGACGGAACGTAGGCCGCAACTGTTGCTGCTTGGGGCAGAGATAGGAGTCTGACTCCTTCGGTTGGGATGCTGCAAGCTGTGGATGAGGCGGTGGGGCGGTGGTGGAGAAGGCGTGATTGAGATGCCTGCTTGAGCCGTTGTTGTAGTAGGCGGTCTGGGCACTAGTTGTCAAGTCCATGATTACTTACGCAACATCTTTTTAAGGCCCCATTCTGTGGCGGCATGTTGATATCCCAATTCCTGCTATCCTTAACTCCATAATCACTCCCGCCCAGGATCTCTGGCCGCAGTCATTGCCGAAAGGGCCTCTTTTGGGGTTGGCGGCCTGGCCTCCTCCCTCATATGCCCTATAGCTGTACCCTTTCCTTTTTCGCGGCCTTTGCATTCGTGTCCCCAACCATCCTCCACAGCCCTACCCACTGTGATCCATTCGATATTTTTGACCCTCTTGTCCTCTACATCGTTCGATATCCTGCGCTCTCCGCTTCTTGCGCCGTAGGTGCACTGAAGCTCGTCTGCTGTCTCAAGTCCCGTGCAACGCTGACCCTAGAGCATGCATGCAGCATTGAGATCGGAGGCGCGGCCACAGTCTCCAGTGAGTCGTTGTTTTCGCTCGGAGTAGGCTTTCACTGACTGTGGAGGTAAAGCTGGACGAGGAAGGACGCGCGATCTGTCTGACTGATAAGATACTTCGGAAAGGGCAAGACACCATCTGATAAGGTCAACATTTGGCTGATGATACCTTGGCTTTGTGTGAAGTTAGATGGTATACATTGGGAGACTTTGGGCGGACAATAAAGCAGGATTAGGCTAACGAAGCTCCCGCGGGCGTTGCCGCTTTAGCGAGAGAGAGCTGGGTGAGCATGGGGGTGCCGACCAGTTCTGAACGCTCCTGGCCCACAGCAAACCCCCACGCCCAAGTCCAACACGTAGAAGCGCACCGCCTACCTACTTCAGGTGACTACATACACAGATGGCCGGGACTGTAGGGCATAAAGAGGGTCCGTTGGCTCTGTTCTCTGGATCTTCAGCTCTTCTTCTGGAGAATCCCTTCACCTCCGCGTCCCCAGTCTATTCTCCTCTCTACCTGCAGCCCATGGTCCGGACAACAAAGCCTACAAGCAAAGAGCGAGCACAAAGCGCCAAACCTACGGCGATTTATATTGATGAATGAGATCTTACAATCACAAACACAACTCTCGCCGGCCGGCGCATTTCTGCCAAGATCGGCGTCCATCTGCTTCTACATTAACCTAAACCAGTTAGCAATGATAACGATTGAGGAGTAGTAGGTAAGCTCCACTTACTGCTTACTTTACTCTCTTCCACGAGCGATAAGCTTCTCCCCTTATGCACAATCCATAGTTATACACATACATATAAATTCATATACAGATTTGGATATTCATATACAAAACATATATAGATTAAGCCTCAGAGCACCATGGACGAGAAGAAGAAGGAATTTGCAGGCTCCCCGGATGAGCAACAAGTAGCGCAAAGCACTTATATCAGCCCTCAGGCGCGCCTACTCCACGACCCCGCTGTCACATTCGAGGAGTACCAGTACTACGCGCGGCGCACCAGAGAAGAAGAGAAGCATCTCGAATCTCCAAAGTTGCGATGGCGAGAAATCATCAATCGCTCAGCGAACAAGGACGCACGCCCAATTGAAGCTGGCGCTGATGGGAATGTGCCGGAAGTCAACTTCGCACACGAGAGTGACCGCCTACAGATTACCAGCGATGAATGGACAAACGCCAGTCGTGCAATGCGCACAGCATCTTCGGGCGCCGCCTTTTACCTTATCACGACCGATATTCTCGGCCCTTACGGCGTTGGTTTTGCCATGGGCACACTTGGCTGGGGTCCTGGAATAGCCCTATATACAGTCTTCGGCTTCATGGCTGGCTACTCCGGCTATCTGCTCTGGCACGTCTTCCTTGGCCTCGACAGCTACGAGTTCCCCTGCCGCAACTACGGCGATCTTGCCTTTCGGACCTGGGGCACGACTGCCCGCTACGCGACCAACATCCTACAAGCCTTGGGCCTACTCCTCATCCTCGGCCAAGTGACAATCCAATACGGCCAGAACATAAGCCAAGTCTCCCAATTCCGCCTCTGCTACATCATCTGTCCCCTGTTGTTCGTCATCGCCGGCTTCTTCATGACCCAGATCCGCACTCTCAAAAATTACGGCCTGGTGGCCAACTTTTCCGTCTGGTTGACCGTTTTAGTCATCTTCATAACCATGGGCGTGATCGCTCACAGTCCTCCAAACTACGCAATTAGCGTCCTGGGCTCAGCAGGCGCAACGGTCGACCCAACCACCATAACCCCAGACGCGCAGGGCAACTACCCGCCCGTCATCCACTATGGGGGGCTCCCTGCCGCGAATCTCGTGGGGTCCATTAACGGCTTGCTATCCGGCGTGCTTGCCTACGCAGGAGCGCAGCTCTTCGTCGAGTTCCTAGCGGAGATGAAACGGCCAAGGGACTTCCTGAAAGCCATGTGGGGAGCGCAATTCTTCATTTATAGCGTGTACCTCATCTATGGATGCTACGTCTATCATTTCCAGGGGCAGTATTCTTACCAGTAAGTCAACACCTAGTGTGACACCATTCAGCACACAATCATCTGGCAGCATGGCCCCTCACAATCTCGCCAAGACCCTGCTTCCTAGCGCTGAAGCAGGTCTATATACTAACATCTCACTACCGCTTAGAATCAGCTATCAAGGCGTCTCAGTCTATGGCTGGCAAACAGCCGGCAACATGATCTCCCTCATCGCCGCCATCATCGCTGCCGGATTGTATGGTAACATTGGTATCAAAGTTTTCTACAACAACATCCTCATGGACATCTTCAGTGCACCGCCTCTCATCACCCGCCGCGGCAAAATTTTCTACGCCGCCATTGTGCCCGTCTGGTGGACCATCGCCTTTATCATCGCAGCAGCGATTCCAGATTACTTCGGCTTCGTTAGTGTGATATCTGCCTCAGCGTTGTTGACTCTGACATATACGCTTCCGCCGCTCTTTGCGGTGGGGTACGATATTCAGAACAATGCGCACCGAGAAAGCGAAGGCGAAGGATTCGATCCGATTACGGGCAAGGTGACCAGACACGGGACGACAGCGCAGCGCTGGATGCGTGGGTTGTTGAGCGGTGGCCCGGTGCGAGTCGCGCAAAATGTGTGGCACGTGCTCTACTTCTTCGCCTCGCTCTCCATGTGCGGCTTGGGCATGTATGCCGCAGTCGAGGGGTGAGTGACCCAGACAGATCATGAACATTTGAGACGAGAGCTTCACTGACCATGTCTGCCTTGCTTAATAGGTTGGTCACGTCGTTCAAGAACCCGCAGCTGAACTCCTTCTCATGCAGGTCACCACTTAACCTGAACGCTTAATCATAGTGTGACAGCGGGATCCTGTCTCCTGTTAGAGTTAGCTTGGCAAGTATGACTAAATGAGTCACTCATCATTATCTTTGTATACCAGTAGCAGAAGATCGGTATGTCGATGAGGCGGCGGAAGAGCAAAAAGACGCGCTGGGAATCGCCCTGATCGGCTGAGGATGGTGTCTTCAAAGCGAATACGAGTATGTAAACATCTTAACGTAAGCCAAGCTCGTTCATATATATTACGTTTCGGTGTCGCCGTCGAAAGCAATGGTTTACGTGAGTGAATGTTTGAAGATAATCGAATCGATATCTGACGAAAAGCTCGACTTCTTCAAATACCTGAAAGCAGATTCAACGTGATTGAGCCAATACATGAGCCGCATCTCTCCCACATACTTTACCTTATGGTAAGACAATCTAGATCCAAAACTGACCCATGATGACAAGGACTCAAAGATCCGCGCGACGCTAAAATCTTAATCTGGCTAGGTGTACTCCAGGTGGGCATGGGCGGGGGCGCACAATATCCTCACCCTACGCTGGATGACAGGGTGAGGGTTAAGGCTGGGGCAGATATGCTCTATCTTGTGCCTTGACACCTGAACAGGCCGCCATTGAGGTTTAAAGAGTATCATGCCGCTCAGAACACCATACGTTCCGAAATCGTCAGCGGGGTGGGGGCAGGGCAGATCGCCTAGCAGGATGAGCGAAGTTCTGAGAAAATTAAGATCCTCTATCGAAAACACCATCACAACGGTAGATCTCCCATCGACTACGAGGCTGGGTATATCTACACTTCAGATCAAATCATTCCCAGTACTTGTGGAGGCGCCAGTGGCCAGGAAGTAGGATGGGCGGTGTATGTTTTGAAGCTGCATCCTGATTCACGGACAGAACACTATTTTGCCCCCCAGCCATTCCTCCCTTCTGAATCGGTAAGGGTACTCACTCCCGAAGTCGAGAGACTCAGATCTCGTTGGCCCAGCTCGGAACTTCTTATTAACCAATACACGCGCATCTCAACATTCGCCTCTCTCATCTCCACAGTGACTTCATCAAGCCTCAGCACTCTCAAGGCATAGTCAATCGTGATGCGCAACGACCCATCAGCAAAACCCTTGCCACGGGCATCAGGATCATTCATCACACCAGCATCGCCTACCCTCTTGCCACTAGAGCTCCTGTTCAATGTCGGCATCGCGCCGTCCCCGGGTTCCGTCAGTCCACCATCTTCCGAGTCCCCAGGATCAGCATCTGTATCTGCGATTCGTCCAAGACATGCGGTGTAGGGTGCTTTTGTAAAGTCTCGATCACATTCCTCCATCTCGTCGTCGTGCGCTTGCTTGGCCTTTGGTTCTGCTGGAACGAGGTCGAGATAAGCCTTTTTTCATTTCCAGAACATGTGCTGCTCGGCCTGGTATACGGTGGGGTATGTCTAGCTAAAGTTGTGGTGCTTAGATAAGCACAAGCCATTGCCTCCCTTCCACAGCTCACCCCAGTATGAAAAGATACTTCGCCCTCGAAGCTCCATGTGCTGCTTGCCGGAATCATCGAGGAAAGCCCGTGCTTGATCGTGTTCAGATGCTAGAACTGAACGCTCTGTACATTCTGGCGAATCATTGAGTCTAGATTCCTAACAGTCATCAAGCAATCGACTGGTGTGTACACTGCGTGCAGGGTCCCGGAAGGCATGAACCTGCAAGGAGCTATTAGCTAAAGCACGGCCAGTCACTCGGGCCACCCAGTGGGCGCTTACAGAGTATCCCCATCGCTTGGCCTGATCATCGTCCAGCCATGCTCATACCCTCCTGGCTCTTTGCCTCCGCGAGTCGTTCGTCGAGCCAGGTCAGCGGCCGACGCTCTTGTAACTCCGTTTCAGAGCTTGATGAGGGTGCTGGTGCTGGGACAGGATGTGGAGTTGCTGGTCTAGAAGAGCTTGGTAGTGGTGTTGGGAACGGCTGTGTGGCGGGCAACGAGGTTGCGGCCGCATCCTTGGGCAAAGTCGTGGCTGTCGTTGCGAGTGGGGGGTTGGATTTAGGCGTCTTGGCCGTTGCTTCCTCGAGTTTTTGTCGCTTTCTCGGAGGTAAGTTGTCGAGAACATCTCAGTCCCCTAGGATCCCGTAGTCGTTAGGGTAGATGTTTCCCAGGCACCAGTATTGAATAGTCTTCCCCTCGGCATCCTTGATGGGCTCGTTAAGGTGTGATCTATCCCGTAGGTTCTTCCAAGCAACGGCAGACACTTTTCGCGTGAGATTTATACGCTCTCCCACGTCCCCGTGTAGCTGATAGGTATTCCAGACCACGAAATGTCTGTTACCATCCTTGTCCTTAGGGACGGCAGGTGCCCCATGCGGCATGAAATTTCCAGCTAACCACCCTTCTGAGTCGAAATCCAGTTTCCAGAACTCAGACCGGTTCTCAATACGTAAGTCCAAAGATCTGGATCTTTCTGCAATTTAGACCTCGGATCTACGTTCCAAATCCACCGCCATCATCATCAATGTTCGAAGAATGGCCGAAGTAAAGCGGTCATGGCTTTCTTGCCTTTGATCACTTTGATCTCACTGGTGGCCCTTCGTGATTTGCTGCCTCTGTTGACAATGACCGGTCAAGCCCTTCGACGGGCTCCAAAAATAGCAGCGACAGCAAGGCTGATTGCCGACTCCACAGCGGATAACAAAGCTAGATTCGGTAACCCTTGTATGCAGCAAGTCAGCGGAGTGAGCCATGCGAAAGCAAATATGGATCAGCGTCCGGTCCATCAAAACCACTTCGTTGTACTTCTCCCGATCATGGACCCGCTGCGGCGGTGAAAATTGCTCTGCACAGATCCACTCACTCTCCACCATACAGTGAAAACCAAACATGATCTGGCCTGCTCCATTGATGCACAGACACTCCGCGTTTTTAGCGAACTTCTTTTCTTGCGGTGAGAATTTGACGACCATGCGATCTATATCTGGAACTCGGTAGGAGGCTCGCTTATGTATGCCCAAAGAGAGGAGAAGATAAGAGGACCTTCAGTGAAGTAGAGAGGTGGTAGCCATGCTTGTAAGGTGACGATACACGTGGTGAAGGGACACGGTGTACTTCTACACTTTGAAGTATAAGGCCGTATTGAACTCCGTGTGGTGTAAGACCTTGATAAGATTATCGAGAGCGGTAAGGTATGAGCTCATGGAAAGGCACGAAGAATGACGGACTGTAGGCCAATTATTAGGGAACGGGAGGTAGAAGAATAGATATGCTTCTGGCAGTGAAAAAACAGTCGCAAGAAGGGTATAAAGAAAGCGTATCCACGAAAGATGATTCTTGAAGTGGTGTAAGTTGATTGATTTCTCTATTAAAAGCTATGAACGAAGAAAGCTATTTCGCCAAGTCAAGGCGGCGAAACGTAACACCTGCCCCCCTGAGGAAAGCCGTTATCGTCCTCGAGGCTGTTCTAGGAAGAGCTAGAATTAATATAAAGGAAACGGAACTGAAGTCGGGGAAAAAAATGGAATTGGCGTGGGTAAAGGAAACGGATCTGAAGTCGAGACTGGAACAGTCCATCTGGTTCATAGAGATGAAAACAGGAACAGGAAAGGAAGGCGGATCGAGCTTTTTCCTCTCACGATCTCGATCCTCCAATTCGTGATAATTGCGGTCCAGAGGTGTAAGTTCTTCCTCCCTCCCATCCGTCAGATCCTCTTCCAACTCACTTAGACCCTCTGGCCTATACTCTTTATCCCCAATCCAGTTGTGTTTTTCGCAAACATCTAGGGCTCTTTTCAGGCCTTGTTCTCCGGGTGGGAGCTCTCGATTATGCATAAGATCAGCATCTTCATTCCCGGGAGTAGGCAAGAAAGGTACTTCATCGATAGGAGCGTTTTGCCTCTTCGGTTAGGAATAAAGCTCCAACAATTCCTTCTAAAAAGGACGCTACAGTATTCGAACCTGGCCAGAAGTTGGGCCGAGAGGGTTTTCAATGAAGGGGTGCTGATGACCGGCTATGAAAGCGAAGATGTTACTGATGCCGGTCCCACGGTGTGCGTTGGCCTTGACCAATCTCATCCCAAAGACTAGCGGAGCTGAGTTAGTGATCGAAGATGTTTGATTCTTGCTGTGCATACCCTGGAATAGCTATTATGGATGAGATCTCGAGAAAGGCGGGTAGAGTGCAGGACGATACGTGTGTTGGTGAGAACTGAATGACTCCTGAGCTGATCGACGAAATATTGACGGAATCGAGAAAGAAGAAAGACGTAAATCGCAGGGGGTCAGGAACAGTGTAATTCGACGATTGCATACCAACAGGGTTGTGGTGGTAGAAATGATACCACTGCGGTAGGCTTCAAGGTGAGGATTCAGACTAGCCACAATTCTTTCTCTTTTTCTCGCCGTGCTAGCCGAGCCGGTCTCCATCGAGAATATGCAGGAACACGTCTCTCCACAACTTAAAGGGTGAAAACACAGTATGGTATTACATCTGTCTTCCGCCAGACAAATGGTCGACGAGTAAAGAGGCAGCTGGAACTGAGTTGTAAAAAAGATAGGCTTGGGATGTCATAGCTGCAGTAGCTTCGTCCCCATGATTCTGCCGTGATCAAGATACTCAAGTGAAGACGATACTAAAAGCTGGCAGAATCTTGAATAAAATAGGAATCTATTGTCTGCAAGCTCCTGCGCCATGCTCGCAGGTATATCAGCCAAAATCTTTCCCTGGACAGCCAGCTTGCGTTTTCCCCCCCAACATTTCCGTATAAACAAACGTTTGTTTGCCTCTGTGCCTAAAGGTATCATTCAGCAAGCGTTGGGACTCCATTCGAGATATCCGCTTTCTTTTTGGAACCTCTCAATATCAGCTGCGCGTATTTCTACGATACAACATAGAGAAGAACCACCAACGGCAGCCATAGCCGAAACTCTGGCGGACGTCAGATTTATGTAGTTGTACGAAGATGAAGGAGAGGGCTAGGAGAATGTTGATCCAAACGACAATAGAAGCTGCACGGCGGAGCCAATACGCGCGCCCGCTGATCGTATTCAAACACCAGACCCGTCTTCTGCTGCACGCTTCATGAGGCGAGCGATACATACCGTGAGAATGGCGAAAAGCTCAAAGCTAAGAGAATGGGATACCAACGATCAGAGTTCTCGTTGAGTAATCCGAAGAGGACCCAATGCACAGGAACAGGATGTACGCCACATGCCAGAAAGAGTCAATTGATAGTGACAGCCGTTGCATCTCGTTGCACTCCGATGATAGTCCCGTCTTGCTCATGGTATACTGGCCGCTTGCCGGCTTGCTCTTGTCTTTGTCCCACGAGACGTCTGAGTAGCTCTGATAGACCGGTGAAAGATCGTAAGAAGTATAGACTGACCCATTCGCCGCCTTTGCTGCTGATGACGACCATGATTAACTCTTTAGAGTGCCACCGACGCCTCTCATCTGCAAGATCAAACCGATAGTCGGGCTATTGATGTAGGGTTTCTTGTTGTCGAATTGATGCGCAGTGCTCTCTACACGATCACGGGCGGCCTTTTCGCTGTTAGAAGATTGCATGAGCGCCATTTAAGTGCTTAGCAGTGATTGCAAAACGACCGTTATAGCACAGGCTGAAATTGATGTAACCCAAGAGCAAGCGACTGCCCAATGAAGAGGACTAATGCCCTGTTAGGGTGTATCTCGCAGCGTCGTAGACTATGTTTGAATATTCAGACTCCCGATCGGTGCTCAAGGACGGGGGACAATTTGGTACTTTCTCTTCCTCTGGCCAGAGCCTGGGCACTGGCCTGAGAATAGCCCTATAATTGGCTATCTCGTCGATGAAAGCACCCATTACACTGCAATCCATCCTGCAACGAAGAAAAAGCTCGACGAGACTTGTTGGGATCAGTGAGGAACTACTGTTCTCAAATACTATGGGAAGAGAAGATAAAGGTGAAAGATATGACCTAGTCCCGAACGACCAGACGTAGACTTGACGGGTGAGTCTCATCTCATGCTCTGAATCAACTCCATTGCCGAACTGATCACGAGCTGAAATTATGTAGAAAGATGGACAATAATAGTTCCATCAGCAACACGTACGGCTTCTCAGTCTCGCACTGGTTAAAGACTGCAATAACACGCAGGTTCATCTGGACGTCATTGCGAGGCAACATGCGGCCGTGAGATGGTTCCTCAGGTTTACGGGTGCCTGTTGCCCGGTGCAAAATTGGTACTGGTCGTCCTTTGAGTACATTCTAGCATACTGCTGAAAGAATTGCTATTCAACAGAGTCAGCGATTCCTCTGGAATGCCTGACACAATTTGAGGCTTCGCGTCAAGCAAGTCCGTGACATCAAGCGCGACCTCTTTATCACGCATAGGCGCTAATCCTCGGGGCTTGCTGGTCTTGTCCTGGGATTTTCCTCTTTGGATCGGAGAAGCTAGCCGGAACAGGCTCTGAAGACTTGAGACACTGCACAGCGGAATGGAAGCCGTTTGTCATTCAGCCTCATCTCCCAGTCCACATGAGTTGAAGTAACCCAAAGCAACGCCCAAAGCAACCGAAAGACATGCTCCCTTCGTGAACAAGGCTAGCGTTGTTGTCAAGCCCTGGTATCACCCAGCACTCATGACAGATTCTCCACCTCCAAGTCTGTTGCATTTGCGCTCACTGTCTTACCGAAGCCCACGTCCTGCACCCTTAATGGATTCGCGGAGGTACCTTCGACGACCGATTCTTCTGGCTCCGAATGGCGGGTCTTCATGCCGGAAACCCGCTCGTTCCGACCGATCTCAGCAATCAGGGATATTGGTATCAAGAACGTTAGACACGTCATGGTGGGAGTTCTGGATTTGTGTTGGTAGCAACACTCTTCCGAATCGTCGCCCGCTGTTAACGACTGAGAGCAAAGGTCTCGGCACTAGTGCCTCCCACAGCATGTGATCACAGCCGTCACCGAACGAGACTATAATCTTAGTGGAGATTGCGTGCACTTGGCCAGAAGCGACGAGGATTGGTAGAAGCTTTTCATAAAGTTCTTGGCAGTGACTGCCTTCTCCACATGTTCACTCCATCCCAGCGGAGTGGGGGATGCGGTGATGTTGAGCTTTCTGGTGGTCTTGGTGATCTCATTGCGGCGATCACGATCCCAAAACAGGCGAAGATGATTTCAGTCAATCGTGAAAATCACCGATACAATCATAGGCGGTGTGGTCAATATGCTTGAAATGAGTCGCCATAGCCCATACATTGAGAAGAATCAAATCCACACGGTGCGGTCTATCAATGATCCTCAAAGATTGACTCAGCTTTAGGCTACAAGACGCCGGAATTAGATCGGGGTCTATTGAAGAAATGAGATGAGCGGTTTCGATGAGAGTCGCTTCGCTGTCTGCATGACTCGCGAAACAGGGAACAGACTCATAGAGTGATTGCAGAGAGCGAAGTTGTTATATCACAATCATGAAGTATCCAAGTTGAGTGCCGGGTCCCGGAACAGATGAGACATGCAGATGGTCTAGTCATCATCCCAGGCAGGTCGACCAGGGTCTTAGCCGTGAGATCCTCCTTCAATTTTGCATGTGTTGGAATTTTTCAGCAGGCGCTGATCGGAAAGGCTTGGTTGTGTTGTGGAAATCACAGAAGTATCTGTAAGTCTAAGACAAAGATACTTGGATTAGAGACCGCACCTCGGCTGGACGGGGAGAGACCGATAGCGTTAGTGAAGATGGTGTCTCTGTACGTTAGCACTGAACGTTCGAGAAGTCGGCTAATGGCACTCGGTAACATCCAGAAGTAGGATGCTGAAGATCTGGGTCTTTAGTAAGATATATTAAGTGAGGTAGTCGGTAAATCTTGCAAAGACCTCCCATGCATTCAACTCTGTTTTTTGAGCCAGCACATAATCTTCTCGCGTTTTTGAAGCTGCATTCAAGGTGTCGAGATTGACAGCTGCCTTACGAGCTGGGCGAAGCTGAAGCAAAAAAGAACAGGAGAAGAGATACAGAAGAAAATTTACCCAAGTCGAAAGCTTCACACATATTTGGAGCGATCGGAGGGAAGGAAGGAAGCATCAAGAAAGTAGGAAGCAGTAGTATTCTCAGATCTTCCAAAACCCTCCAAAATCCTCGCTCACTCCCTCCCAGGTTGCCCTGAGGAATCTCACATCCTTACTCCCGCATGCGTGATGACGAGTATGATTTCGCATTTCCAACAGTTTTAAGCAGTCATTGAGAGATCCCGTCAACGTCGACACCGAATGCATCTTTGCCCATTGCGAGAAGTGTGATATAACGTCCAATCAACGCCCATGGTCTGCGCATATACATGTCAAGGCGGATTGTCGTCGGCGCGTCGAGAGGAGACAGCGTGTAGTTCTTTCACTGTTGCGCTAGTGAGCTGATGCAGCAAGCCATGAACCAGGATCATGGCGGTGTGGCCATAAGCTGAAGACGGTAGTAGGCAGGATGGGCAGTAGCACTTACGCAGTTCCCTTTGCCGGTGTGCTGGCGGAATCCTTGTCTGGCCTGTCCTTGTCTTCCTTCTTTACATGCTTCGCTTTCAGACAGAGCCAATAGTGCCTTCCGCAAAATTCCTTCGATTCTGTCCCATTTAGAAGAGTCTTAGTTTTCATGGGACAAGTCTTGTCGTCGATTGCGCATCAATGGCTGTTTGGAGTGTTTCGAACGTCCATGAGAGCACAACTCGGTAGATTCTTGAAGACTTCGCTATACCCCTTTGAAAGGGGTATCTCACCATGTGCTTGCCCAGGTCCCGGCTGATGGCAGCTGCACACAGCCGGGGGCTACATGCAGGGCCTCACCACCCCTCACACCGCATTTCCCTCCGTTGTCAGCTCCGAGACGAGACCGCCAGGGGCACAGAAGAAACGAGCTCCGCGAGTCTGAAAAGGGGCAAAGGGATTTGCGGCCTTCTTACGGCTGCTAGCAGCCGTCCCGGCATCGTTGGTACGCATATTCCCACCGCCTGCAGCAAGCAACGGGCTGGCCATCCGATGCACGGCAATAAATTGAACGTAAGGCAAAGCCTCATGGTATCTTTCTCATCTTGAGAAAGCGTGTTCAACCACCAGTACAGAGCCGTTCCTCGGACACAAGTGGAAAGGTCAGCCCTTGCTGTGGCTTTACCCTTGAGAATAGCATAATCCTCGACTCGGCGCCAGAAGGAGCAAACTTCACGGTATATCGTTTCCTTGCTTGGGAAGATAATGTCTCCGGTGCCATAAGATTCTTCAAGATCCGGGTGGAAGGAACCTAGATCTGAAGCACGGGATCCGCCTCCAGATCCTCCTTGTGTAGCTTGTCCGGGCGGTCCTTGCGTCCCCGGGGACATGGCTCTGGTACCTAGTCGTGACCGATCCATGATCCAATCGAACTTTACACCCTTTGCCCATTCAACTGCAAGTTGGGCCATGGTGCAACGAGGGCATGCGCGACATCCTCGACATACATGCTCGCACATGCCTCGATGAACTGTCCGTGATCGGTTCACTTGATGCGGTACAACTCCTGCACTTGAGATCTGAGTTCAATAGCAATGAGAACTTTTCCAAACAGGATCAGCTGCGACTCGGTCAAGGGTGGGGTTCATTTAATGTGCATTCTTGTCTTTCTCCATGTTTCAGAGGACTCTCATGATTCATATCAACGAAGCTGACTCGATCATTCTCATACTCGGATCATCCGGAAACATGATTGCCTTGGCGTCCTTACATCTCTGCATTGGCCATGAAGAGTCCATAGGACAGCATGCTTTAAAACAGAATCTGTGTAATTAATAGAACGTATTGAGTCTGGGGCCGAGAAATGCTCACAGTGACTGCGCTTCAGCTTCCAAAGTTCGCCATGTCTCACATGCCAATTATATGTCCACGTGAGCGAAATGTAAGACAGGTCCTCGTTGAGTAATCTGAAGAGAGTTGCGGCATATCAGAATCGCAACTTTGAAGAGGAGAGCCTCGTTCCCGCGTTCATGAGGCTTTTCGCATCAGCACATAAAATCGCTCACAACATCAAAATGACAGACCTTGCGGCGGTGCTTCTGACCACTGGAGCTGCCTGTGGCTTTCCATGGCAAGCCAAAACATGTATGATAGTGCTTGAAGACGTTGAAGTCACGTCAATAAGCGAGAAAGTTTGTGATAGAAGCCTTAGTGTGAGTCTTCACTGAACTCAGAGAGATCCCTAAAAGCATGGATGTAACCTTCGCCCTCTCGCCGTGAATTCTCCAATGAGAGTCTGGCAGCATCTTCTAGTATACGCGTGATTCAAAACTCGCACGAGAGAATGGCAGGATAGTTGTGGGAACGTATATGGTGATACGCGTACTGACAATAGGTGAGGGACTCTTCGTCCGTGAGCGCTCGGTTGAATATTGCTTAGAGTTCTCTTCATGGCGGCGATGACAGCAGGTTTACCGTTCAGATCGTCGCTGGTTCGAGGGTATAGCAGAGCAGGCGAGTTTGAAAGCTTCACGAATAGCTGTACGTCGCTTGTAATCTAATTCATGGGATGCTGAGATTGAAGGTGACATTCAGCAACTTACCCTGACACTACCATACCGGGCGCACGATGGCGAGATTTGAAGGTATGCGCTCAAAGGGGGGCACTAGGACAGCGTTGGCGGCGAAAGGCCTTGTACGGTACTCAGCTTGCATCCGCGAAACTGACTAAAAGGGACCACGAAATCTCCTGTTGTCGCCGGAGTCATATCATCGTGACGGGATTGGTTGCTTGATGATCATGGCTGAAGGGGGGCTTTGGTCGGTACAGTAGTCAGCTTGCCTCAAAACAGAGCACAGCGTGTGGTGAGTTTCTGGCTAGCAGGCCATTAGCTGACGTTGTGAGGAAGAGGAAAACATAGGAGTCGGTGAGGGACAGAGGCGGCGTATCGTTTAACAAGATGAGGACTGTGGCATCCCTCAGGTCCCATGCTGTGTTTCCGAGCATGGTGCATGCCACCGTAGGCGTTTGCGGACTCATAAGGAAGGAATCATTGGCAAGAATGAAGACACAAATGAAAGTCGAGCAAAGTCTTCGCGATCTCGGCTCTAAAAGTCGGAGACTCCTTCCTCTTTCTGCTTCTAAGGTACATCTGAAAATTTTCGTAGAACTCAACTACCCTTTTAAGCGATCGACCCAGTGTCAATGGAGGTTTGTCGGGCAATAGCCTGGATCAGGCGAGATTCTATTGACAAGAAAGGCCCAGCCACGTTGTCTCCTTGGGCGTCCGCATACCCACCAGACCTCCAATCCTCGCTCTAGAATCAAAGTGAGTTATCATTTGCACTGGCACTTATTGCAAAGCCTGTGGCGATGAGATAGATTGCGATATAAGGCTAGGTAGAGAAGAGGTCGTAATCAACCAGAGTGCGCTCGAAAGATTGACGTGTGTAATCCTGATAGGTACTTTTGAGGAACCTCTCATAGCCGAGGGAAGCATAGCCCAAGTGGAGTCGACCATTTCCCGAATAGCTCTGTCCTGACCCCTAAAATTTCCTTACCTTTCATACTGTTAAGACCGTGACAAATTCATCGAGGCAACCAAAAGAGCGCAAAAGGCGTATTTATTTGTAAAACAACAGAATTCCGAGTAGAGATCAGTAAGGATGTCCGAATCTTAGCATGGAGAAAGACTTCTCTAAACGATAACGAGAACAGTGCTTTTAGTGCAGCGCTGCAAATCATTCATGAGACCGAATTCCAGGACAGAAAAGCGTAAGTCTTACCTCACCAGTTCAAATGACGAGAGAGCATAACAAGGACTACAAGAAAAATGCAGCGTAGAGTGGCAAGACCGCATCGACTCTTCAGAGAGAATCGAGCACGCATGAGCGGCGTTTGGGACGATACGAAAGAGAGCGGGAGATGCATGGAGCGAGCCGGTCTGCTAGACATTGTGATGTTTTCACACAGAGGTACGTAAGTGGGTACTGATCGCTTCGTGCAAAAAGCGACTTTACGTCACCAGTTGTAGCTGAAAACATTATCGATAATCAAGCTATCCAAGGCCATGCGCAAACGGACGATCAGTGGAGACTGTGTTTCTTGCTGCGAGTCTAGTCCAGCACTTGCCAGTAACTTAGTAATCCCCCAACGGTGACACTGGTGGAAGCGTGTCGACGTCTGGAAGGAAGGACTCACGTATGCATTGGATGATTTGTAGAGACGTTGTGAAGGTGGAGAGGAAAGAGGCTTTTCGTCCTCGCGAACCCTTGTGTGAATTTCTGAGAGGAAGTGAAATCGTCACCGCTGTGAATGATGAAGCGGAAAGGATGCGGGTAAGATGTGAGCATGGATCGCTGCAAAGACACCATCTGTCAGGTCTTGGCCAGCATCGTACGAGATGGTAGGGGAAACATGGCTGCAGGGAAAGCTTGGTACGCCGTCTAGTGTGTTACTTGCAAACCGAAGCTGCAGAGCTGCATGTTGTATTGAGACACAAATGGTTGGCGTGCGTCTTCGAGTCCGCAAACTTCCTCCGCACCCTGCTTGGAAAGACAACGGTGAAAGGGATAGGTACAAGAACCTGGAAGTAGCAGGTCTCTTCCGGGTCAAGTGTCCGAAGTTGGATTTGGATGAGAAGATGGGATCAGTCTTGGTTGTTCAAGCTGATAGCAAAAACATCACGCCACACCAGGTCGAAGCTCACAGTCGGGAGCCCATCACAGAAATGTGGCAAGCGGCAACAGAGCATCAGGACTCAACTGGGTCAAATTCGTAGAAGGTCGAGTGGGCTGATCTATTTACTCCTGAGGAGTTTCGGAAATTGTTTCCCGATTTTAAGGCGACGAAGTTGAGGGAGGATGCTGGCTGGGCGACTATAGTCTCGCCAGTATAGCTCTGAAAGATATAGACACTTGGGAAGATTGTCGGGACGGCAGAGAAAGCCGATATCTTCGGCAAAGTCTTTGATCCTACGGAATGAAAGAAGGGATGTTGTAGAGGAAGTATTGAGGGACAGTGGATATCACCGGGTCAGCTCTAGCTTTTGCAGCTGAGGTTGCCACCTCCACCGTTGTTGCTAAACCTCTTGTAGCTATGACACACCAAAGATGGGCTGCTCAGGATATATTATCTTACATGTTATCTTACATGAACATTCCGGAATGATCAAAAAGGAATGTAGCAACTTTCATCCAGACACTCTTTTTCTCCCTGCACCATGTCACGCTCGCTAGCCGGACCTTTCGGCGATAAAGCGTAATCGGCACTTATAAGTCCCGAAGGCCGGATTACCCGTACTTTACCTTGGCGTAGTGATTGCGTGGTGACGCAATGCCTCGGATTGCAAATGTGGATTGATCTTGTATCTCTTTCTTCATCCACCAATCGCCAAAGTTATCCAGTCCGTGTCCGTGTCCGTATGTGTCAGACTCCCTTTTAAATTGATTATTCACTCATTTTCTGTGTACATATATCTCATGAGATTGTAAAAAATATAGGTAGACAAAATATCATACTTCCCTGCTTCAATAATCTCCTCTTTTTTTTGGTAATAATAGAGAGCAAAATTCCCCCAAATAATAATAAATTTAGAAGAAGTAATTGTTACCCGGCTAACCTTCCCTCATGCAAGCTCCCCCAAGCTCTCAGGGAACTCTCCCTCACCAAGAATCTAGGCGTATTGTTCAAGATCTCTTTCCCGAGCGAGCCAGCATCGATGACTTTCGAGATGCTGACGAGGCTATACCAGGAGCGGGAGCGAACAACGGGATCCATCCAGTCATCGACGGCGGCTATCACACTGTTACAGATGGCATTCAGGGAAGGCAGTCAGCTGAGCGAGGGAGCAGTGATACCTTGCGAGACGAGCAGAGAGGAATCACGATACCTGGGGAGACAAACGCCGGATACCATGGCAGCAGTGACACGATCAAAGACGGAGACAAGCACGACTTGAGAGCCCACAAGGACACGCCACTGGCGCAGAACAGCAGCTCCACCATTGGAGACGGCGAGAACCAGTATCGACGCACCACAATGACCCACCAGGCCGACCGAGCCAGCAATGACTCATCTCGTGATTTGGAAAAGGGAGCAACCGGTGCGAAAGAAGAGCAGGACCAAATCAACCAAGACGGCGAGGATACAAGACAAGCACAATGGGAGAACAATGTCGTGGGCTGGGACGGGCCAAACGACCCGGAGAACCCGCACAACTGGAAGAAATCGAAGAAATACACCGTCACCGTCTTCTATGCCTCAATGACCTTCTGCATCACATTCGCTAGCAGCGTCTTCAGCACCGCCACCGCGGTTACAGCCGAGAAGTACGGCGTATCCACCGAAGTCATGACGCTGGGCACCAGCCTGTTCGTCTTTGTAAGTGCCTTTCCCAGCATCATCCATCCAACACTGACACAGACAACAGGGTTTCGCCGTCGGCCCAATAGTATGGGGACCCTTCTCCGAACTCTATGGTCGAAAGATTCCTCTCTTTTTCGGATTCTTCGTCTTCGCCATCTTTCAAATCCCTGTCGCGGTAGCCCAAAACGTCGAAACAATTATGCTATCCCGATTTCTTGGTGGGTTTTTCGGGTCCTCGCCATTGGCGATAATAGGAGGAACACTGGCGGACTTCTGGGGTCCTGTTGAGAGAGGTTTCGCTCTTGGTCTCTTCGCAGGCGCTACGTTCATTGGACCAGTGGCAGGACCTATTGTTGGCGGCTTCATCACGCAGAGCTACCTTGGATGGAGGTGGACGGCCTGGATTACCTTGATCATGTCGTCTTTTTTTGGGACAATAGCCTATTTCATCTGCGCAGAGTCGTATACACCGGTACTGCTACAGCGCAAGGCCGCAAAGATACGCTTCGAGTCGAAGAACTGGGCAATACATGCACCGGCAGACGAAAACCAAATCAACATGAAGGAGATCGTCAACAAATACCTCTTGCGTCCTTTTATCATGCTGGCGCTCGAGCCCATTCTCGTTCTGATCACATTCTACATGGCCTTCATCTACGGAATGATATACCTCTTCTTTGAAGCGTACCCGATCGCATTCCAGGAGATCCGAGGATGGAACGGGGGTGTCGGCGCACTCCCTTTCCTCGGCATCACCATCGGGGTCATCATCGGTGTCGCCATCATTGTGTACACATCCAACACCCGTTTCAAGCAGAAGATGGAAGCCAACGGAGGCAAGCCGATACCCGAGGAGAGACTGGTCCCCATGATAGTAGGAGCCTTTTTGCTACCCATCGGCCTCTTCTGGTTCGCCTGGACCTCAAACCCGCATGTCTCCTGGGTGCCGCAGGCCATCGCCGGTATACCCATCGGAGCAGGGGTACTCCTGATCTTTTTGCAAGGGTTGAGCTACATCATCGACGTCTACCTGATGCACGCGAACAGCGCCCTCGCCGCCAACACCCTTGTGCGATCTGTGGCCGGCGGAGGATTCCCCCTGTTCGCCGTCGCCATGTACCATAAACTGGGCGTAGACTGGGCGACCAGTCTCCTTGGCTTCTTGACCGTGGCCTTCCTGCCCATGCCCATCCTATTCTTCATCTATGGGAAGAAACTACGCGAGTTCAGTAGATACAGTCCCACCATGTGAGGGGCCACAGCATCACTATGGCGTTTTGAGCGATTTTTCACAGCCTGTACTAGTACATAGCCACATATAATATACTATATCTCCAAAGTCCCACCACTCTGTGAGAAAACCATCCACTGCACTCGCCACGCCCTCAAGGGACCATCTTTCTTTCCCTTCAAAGCCAACCCCTAAGCCCTCCCTCCCATCCGCTCCTACCCCGCCTCCAGTCCGTCTCAGATCCCATCAACGCCTCAGACCGTCCTCCCTTATCCGAATCCGAAACCAGACATACCCTCATCTTCCACATACGCTCACACCACAACTTACCACCCCTCCCTTCCCGCCACCATTCTCCCATCAGAACGCTCCATCGTATCGTGTTATCGCAAGCGGCCATCCATCTCATATCCCCAAGATCAAGTCCGTACCTCAGGCGAAGTCAAAAAATCCCGCACGCCGAATCCTTCGCTCCCGCGCGTCAGCTGCTTACGTGCCACGTGGTTTCTTTCACGGCGCCATCGGGCGGAGGAGCATCTTTTTCGCAACGGTAGTGGTTCGGAGGATGAGGGTGTGCTGCGATCTGTGTATTATTTTGTTCGTGTTCTTTTTCGTGGATATGTTGTATCGCACCTGTATCAAAGGCGCCGGACTCTTTCCAGATCTAAGAAGCAGAAGCCGTGCTCGGTCTCGGCTTCTTCGATTCGCCAATTGAGTGGTGGTGGTAAGGGTAAGGATGGAAGCGGGCTTGACAATCTTGTTTTTTTTGGGATATACTCCAATGGCTCTCAAATGAGTTCCCCGCCTCGAACCCTGCAAGGTGTCGATGGTCGAGGCAGGAATGCCTCGCCCGACAACAACCAGACGGGTCCCTGCACACGCCGGTATGAATGACGTGAGTCTTCCTCACCTCATATGTCAAGCCACAACATCGTCCGGAGACACTCGCAGCGTGTGACGCTGTGCATCACCACGAGGGGACTTCGATCCATCATGGGGATGGTTTTCTCTACCTGTTCCCCATAGCAGCGGCTGGCTCATATTTTGGCACACCGACCAGAGACTGAGTCCCGACGTCTTAAATTTCAGAAAGCAGAAGTGGCAGAGATCCCAACGTCGGTTTTCCACTCGATGAGTCCGTGTGTGTTCGCTGCGCTCACTACTGAAGTGCGAACCCACCGTAAGCACAAGAGCTGGGTATCGCACAGATGGGGACCCCTTGCCAATTTCCAAAGCGATTGAAGAACTCCATGGACGATGTGAAGTGAGCTAGCTTGCAGGACTCGAGCGTGGTGGACGGAAATGATTTAGATGGGATTACGACGTGAGAGAAGGCCAAGGGTGAGGATGCGTTGGTGAAGTTTTGAGAAGAAGGGGAGGCTTGGTATGGTAGTAAAGGGCGTAGGGTTTCGGGTTTGAGGGTCCGGGCGAGGGAGTGCGGTAGCTGATCGCTCAGGTGTGATCTGTAGATTAGGCCTTGTAGAAGGTTCAAGGGTTCTGGAGATTGGCTCGACGACAAATCTAGTCCTCTTCAAGAGTGTTTTCGTACCGTCCTATAACGCAGTCGACTGGCCTGAAAGGCAATGTCGAGAGTACAGTTTCCACATGTTTCCAGGCATTGCCGACCCATTGTTCCAGTCATCTATCAAAAAAATACAGCGTTCACAGTCGTATTCGGAGTCTTGTACTCTATATGATTGTTGAAAGTTAGCAATCTCTCTGCTGTGTCCCCGTTGCCTTTGTTCGTAGAAAGGGTGGTCGTTCTTGGCCTGGGGATCGATAGTTCAACTTTTCGAAGCCAATTGCACTTAGATCGCTACATATTTCATGCGATAGACTAAGTCCATGGAAACTCTTCCATTGTACTTCTACCATTGATGCCTACATCGGACATAGTCATCGGGCTTTGGCAACGGTTTCCTGCTTGGCTTTTGACTTCATGGGTCATAGCTTCTTCGTTGATTTACTTTTCACGGTAACCTGTCCCATTAACAGTACAGAACCCTACCTTACTGTCAACACATTTGTCTCAAGTCACCACTTCATCTATCACTCATATCATTTCCAACCCTTCCCCTCTTCCCATCGACAGCCGCCGCACGCTACGATAACCTTGGGACAACATGTCTCAAATCCCAGTCAACGCCGAACCGAAGGGGAACGCCAACATAAATTCCAGCGTGACCTCTCGTGATACATTCCAAGACGTCACTATGGAACCAAACATGGCGGCCCCGGCTGTCTCAAGAGACACAGAGCTGAACGACTTCCTCTTCATGCAGCTCGCGGTTGGTCAGTCTCCAACTTGTTCTTACATCGGGCATACAATAAAGGCTAATGACCGCGTTCTGATTCTTACAGAGATCCGGCTAAAAATCTACGGCTAACCTTTCATAGCACTCCCGTCTCTATCCAAATCCATAATCTCGGCCAAACAAGCCTCGGAAAGTGTCATGCGCGAGATGAAGCGCATCTGGGATGCAGACCAATGGAAAACGATCGCCTCCAAGCGCACCGGTAGCAGTAATTGTGCTAGCATAGGTCCTACTCCACAGATCCTTCGAACTTGCAAGGCTATTCACCGAGAGGCAACACCGATCTTGTACAGCGGAAACGTTTTCCAATTCTACCTCAGACGAGGAGACGCGAAATCGCACCCTGGTTACAAAGGTTGGAATGAGACCCCTACCGATGCTCTGAACAGTATAATTTTCGCTATCTTTCTACGACAAATCGGGCAACAGAATGCAGCAAGCTTGAAAAGGCTAAAGTTCTTCGTACCGGAGGTCTACGCGCGCACACACACTCAACTAGCAGGGTGCGCGATCCAAGTGTTCACACAACTGCTCAAGTGTCATGTTCCAGGCGTTCGTCAGGTCAAGATTTGCCGTGGTCTTGTTGACCAGGATCAATATGAAAAAGAACCCGCAAAATTGGTTGATGATGGCTTGGAAGGTTTTGGGGAAAATGACTCTGATCACACCACCAAATCTCAGGCTCAGATGTTCGCTCCCAAGCAAACCGAGATGGTTTCAAATGATGCAGACTTCGACGATCAAGGCACGGATGGGCACTATCATCCCCCTTCTGCTGTTCGCCGAGAGGAGCAGGAAGCGATGTACAAAGCCACAGCAGATATGGTTCAAGAGATTACCTGGCTGGATCAATTGAGCTTTGCTGGTTTCGATCAGGATGTTCCGGCATTTGAGAAAATGAAGCAACTGGAGGCACTTGTCAAGGTTAGGCGTTAGGAACGCGTGGCCGGAGAGCACTGCTAGGCCTGGGTGTTGGTACCTCTGGTACAAAAAATCAAAATGGCGCCAACTAAGTGGACGGCCTTCACGAGAGCGCGAAGACATTATCGGAAGCAAGGGAGTGGCTAGACAATTCAACTGATCGTCTTAGCCATGATGGAGCCAAACAGCATAGCGGGAAAGGAACACTTGTACCTTAGAACCAGTGCCCTTGGATACGAAATTCCCTTACACGCTCCTTACTTCAACGTATCTAGACTGAAAAACGCTCTTCCCCGAGAAAAATCCTGAGCAGAGATGGATTTTCCCATGTCTCCAAACTCTTAAACTCCCAACTCGGCTGCTTCGATGTACCACCTTGCACGCTCTCTCTTCAAGGCACCGAGAGTCATATCGAGAATGCCATCGTGATTTACTCACTTCGTCTTAACCCTGGCTTGGTTGGGGCTTTGAAGATCAGAATTCGTTCTCAAATCTCAGCTCCAATCCTCTATCTTACACCCTCTCACCCCACCACCCACTTGACTACGACTGGCTGCAACAACTTCCTTTCTTTTCACCTCATTTTCGACTCGATTCACTGAACATACCTCTTGCCAAAAGAAATCTTATTCACGTCTTAGTAGGCCTCTAAACATTTGGAAAGCCTCACAACTCAGAAAACCACTATCCGGAAGTTCTACCTGTGGAAAGAGTTCACCCAACCATTCGACATAGACAAGTAAGGAGCTACGACGTCGCAATCAAAGACAGTGAAATTTATCCCCTTCATCAAAGGCGACTTTCCCCTACGAAATCATTCCATCTACCTGACTCGTTCTGATCAAAGATCCAAGCTCAAAAATGTACGCCATGGCTACGAAGGCGTCGAACTCTTCAACCAGTACCGTGGACTCGGAAACCTCATTCACTGTGAGTCTACCAGGCCTTGAAATTGCCACAGAGGTTGTATCTGATCTGGAGTTTAGCATTCCTCACTACAGAGTCATGACTTTCAGCAGACCGCTTTGGGATTCTTGGACCTGCCAACAGGTCGGTCGACCTTTGAAAACCTTGCAGATAGGTAGCTGACAGATCAAATTCAGAGATTCGGCTCGAGATCTACGGGTACTTCCTCTTAGCCCCCCCGGCCTCTTCACCTCGAACCAACGAGACATCATACAAGGGTCTACGTTCAGCTCTACCCATTACACTCTCACCAAAATCCTGGACTGTAGGAGGCCTACCGATAGCAAGTTTCTTCCGTCTCTACCCTGCCATTCTATCCACCTGCAGGGCCATCCATGAAGAAGCAACAGAGGTACTCTACGGCAAGAATCTTTTTCAGTTCTGGGTGCCTTACGAAGCAAATAATGAAATCGGTGGGAACATCAGCATCCTTGAACAAAGCGAAAACGTATTTAAATTCAATAACAAGGATTGGCGGTGGCGATCAGATGGTCCCCTCCTACTCAGAGACTCCACATTCGCATGTTTCCTCAACAGCATTGGACCCGGTAATGCTGCCAGCTTGACAGCCATTGAATTCGTCGCGCCCTGCGGCGAGAACAATAAATATCAGTTTCAATTAATGACAAAGTTGCTTGCGCGTCACGTATTAGGACTGAAGTTCATCAGGGTCTCCAATGGTTTTGAATGGCCTATGGACGGAGATTGGCCTAGATGCTTGGCTCCTGCAGGCAAAGATGAGGAGCTGCACCAGACTTGCCGCACATTGACAGACTTAGTGCGCGGATGTCCTTCGCTCGAAGAGTTCGAATACAGAGGCAGCTTCATCAAGCCGGATTCAGAACTCGAGGCGAAGACCGGGTGTCTGGGGAAGATTTCTCGCCTGTTGGAAGAACGAAAGGCGAAGAACGCTCCTCGTATGGTAACCAGTCAAGAGAAAGAGAAGGGCGACGAAACCGAAAGCTAATTGAGATTTGTCCAAGGATGAAACACGCAGTCAGTGGACGAATTCAAAGGGTAGCAAGGACAAGAGTCGAACTGAAGCTCAAAGAACAGGACATGGAGACAGGAGAACTAGACGAGGGGTGAGGCTGTGGACAGATTAGCCTCGACGCGGTTCCAAAGATAGTCAAAATCTAGAACAGGCCGGATCAGGGTTGCACAGGACTGCGGTTCTCAAATAGCATGCAAACATCCACAACAAACCTCTCGGTAAAGGCAGCAAGATCTCGATCGTCCACCAAATCGTTTCGTAAGCACCAAGCTGACGTGATTTAAAAAGGGCACTTCTACTTAGATCTAGCGACCAACTGGTCAGCCTCTGCCGAAGAGGCGAAGTATCGGCTCGATGGCTCTAGACGCTGACATGCATGCGTGGCTCAAAATGCAGAAGCATAAAGGGCAGTCATTGATCTCATTCCGTTGACCCATCTACAAAGCTCCTAAAGTCCCATCACCCACCATTTCGGACATACAATCAGTCTTCGATCCCAAAATTTCATCTCCAGTTCAACATAAAATGTCTGACCCCTACAACCAACAATCCCAATACGGCGGCTACCAAGGCCAGCCCAAGCATCAAAACTACAACCAGCAGAGCTACAATCAGCAAGCCTACGGCCAACAGGGTTACCCTCAGCAAGGCTATAACCAACAGCAAGAGTACGACCAGCAAGTAGCCCGCTACGGACAAAACCACCAACAAGCCGCCTACGGCCAAGAAGGCCAGCAACAATACGGCCAGCAGCAGCAACAGTAAGCACTCCTCCCTCACTCACTCACCACTTGAGCCCCACCACTAACGCCCCCGCCAGAGCCTACCAGCAACCCCAATACCCCCAAAGCGAAGGCCAAGACGGCGAGCGCGGCATCGGCGGCGCCATCACGGGCGGTCTCGCCGGGGGCTTCGGCGGCCACCAAGTGGGCCACGGGTTCCTGGGCGCGATCGGGGGAGCGATCCTGGGCAGCTTCACCGAGGACAAGCTCAGGAAGCACGAGCAGGAGAAGAAGAAGCAGGGGTCGAGGCCGCACAGCGCGCAGGGGGGCAGGGTGGGCGGGGGAGGATTCTCGGAGAGTTTCAGCGAGAATGTGAATTTTGGAGGGTTTGGGGGGAAGAAGAATTAAAACTGATTTGGATTGAAATGAGGTGTTGGGTGTGAGGAGGTGGGGAGGAGTTGGGGGAAAGCGTGAGTGGAGTTGGGTGTTGATAGATTGT